TGTCAGCTAATTTCTCAAAGGAAACTTTACAGGCAAGAAGGGGCTGGAAGGAAGTATTCAAAGTGAAGAAAAGCAAGGACCTACAACCTAGATTACTCTATTCAGTGAAGCTATCATTTAGAATCAAAGGGTAGACAAAGTACTTCCCAGACAAGGTAAAACTAAAGAAAGTCATTATCACCAAGCCATTATTATATGAAATGCTAGAAGGAATTATGTAAGAAAAAGATCAAAATGATGAACATTAAAATGGCAGTAAATTTACAATTATCAATAATTGAACCCAAATAACAAACTAAGAAAATAAGCAGAACAGGAACAGAATTATAGATATGGAGTTCATGTGAAGGGTTATCAGTCTGAAGAAGCAAAGCGGAAAATGAGGGGAAAGTTGCAGGGATTATGAAGCACAAATTGGTAGGTAAAAATAGACAGGGGGATATTAAGAACAGTATATATATGTAATGGAGAAGCCAAAGAACTTATATGCATGACCCATGGACATGAACTAAGGGGGGGGAAGAGGGTATCAGATGGACGCAAAGGAGAAAAAATTGGGACAACTGTAATAGCATAATCAATAAAATGTATGTTTAAAAAAAGATGTATAATTATCCCTATAGTCCTAAATCTGGAAACAATGCAAGAATGCCTACTCTCATAGCTTATATTCAACACTGTATCAGACGGAGGTCCTACCCAGTGGTATAAGGCAAACAAAAGAAATGAAAGACATAAAGAGAAGAAATGAAGGCTTTAAATATTCTCTACTTACAAATAACATGATTCTTTACATAGAAAACCTTAACTAATTTGCAAAGCAACTAGAACTATTTAGTGAATGTAGCAATATCACAGGATCCAAGGTCAAAATACAAAAATCAGTTTTTCGTTACTAGCAGCAAAGAATGGAAAATGAAACTTTTAGGATCCCACTTATAATGTCAAAAGCATAAAATATGTAAAAATAAATTTGACAAGAAACATCCAAGACATTTAACTGCAAACTATGAAATACTGGTGAGAGAAATTGAAGAATACCTAAATAAATGAAATTCATGGATATAACAAGTTCCAAGGTAATGGATTGAATAACTCAATACTAAGACCTGAAATCCTCCAATTAATCTACAAATTCAACACAATCCCCATCATAAACCCACTAGGTTTGTTAAAGTTTGGGTTTTTTTTTAATAAATTGATAAACTATCATGTAATTGAAATCTACTAAGAGAGTAGAACTCAAATGCTCTCACCAAAAAGGAAAGAAAAAATTTATGAGCAACTTCTAAAATGTATATTTAAAGGCAAAGGACCTAGAATATCCAAAGCAATGTTGAGAAACAACAAAGTTGCAGGACTTAATACTTCCTGATTTCATGGACTAATACATACAAAAGTACATATTCAAGACAATGTTGCATAAGAACATGGGACAAAACAGAGTCCAGAAACAGACTCAAACACATAAGATCATTTTGTTCTTTTATGGAGATATAATTTACATACAGTAAAATTTAGCCTATTTAATGTACAGTTATATGAATTTGAGGGCATCTTCCATACTACTGTGAAATCGGGTTTGTCTCTCCCTTTGCCAGTACCACATTGCTTTTATTATTCTTACTTTATAATAAATCTCTTTATCTGGTTTAAACACCACCCCCCCACACACACGTACATTGGGATTCTTTTCCTGACCAACTTATCATAGTTAATATTGTTTAACAAGAGCAATTCACTGTTTTTAGTCAAATGAGACACAATCATCTTTAACATGGTTTAGGAAACTAAGACAAGTTGCCCTGGCCAGTGTGGCTCAGTTGGTTGGAGCACTGTCCTGTACACCAAAAGGTAGCAGTAGCAGGTTCAATTCCCAGTCAGGGCACATACCTAGGTTGTAGGTTAAGTCTCCGGTCAGGGCACGTATGAGTGGCAGCTGACTTATGTGTTTGTCTGTTTCTCTGTTTCCTTCTTCCTTTCTCTCTGTCTGTGTGTGTGTGTGTCTCTCTCTCATTCTTTCCCCCATCTCCTCCCCCCTCCCCTCCCCCTTTTAAAATCAGTAAGCATGTCCTTGGATGAAGGTTAAAAAAATAAATAAAATTAGGGCAAGTTTTCACAATTGTGATACTATTTCCTGGCATTCCTGAGGCAGTTATATTTTCTAAAGAATAATCTGACTAGTAAAATATACAAGACACTGCAGACAAAATTATCAAAACTTTTCATCCTACCTGCAGACAGACAATGGAGAAAATCATTCCATGAGTTATTTCACTTCCTTTACATAGTAAGTAGCTTTGGAAAGGAATGGCCAGCTGAGTACTAAGCCCACTTCCTCTTCCATGAAGCACACAATTAGATGACATTTTCCAGCCCTGCCTGAGTTAGGTGTGGTTGTGTGGTTGAGTTCTGACCAGCAATGTGGGCAGAAAGAAATAATGGGCTCTATGTCTAGGCCTGCACACATGAAAACTTCCCACAGGAGCCTCCATTTTTTTGCAGCCCATGATGACTTAACGGCAGACAAGTACAGCCATATGTGGAAAATGGAGGGAAGAGGGCAAGAAGGTAAAAGAAACTTGGGTTCCTCAATCACTGGAAGAAAACTGCCCACAAATCAAGGCTACCAGTGAACAAGAATAAATGTCTACCATATTTGAGCCATTATAAATCTAAGGAGTTATTCTAGCAGCTTGACATTATGTTGACTAAATCAATCACTGGGCTACCTCTAGATTGAGGTTAGGTTGACTTGAAATGCATGTTCTAGGATTAGTGACTCAGGCAATCACAGGCATATGAGATGGAATCTCTAAACATATGCAGTCAAGGTAAGACCATGTTTGGCCACAATAAAGCAATATATTCCACCATGAAGTAAAAATTCTGCTGAGTAGTTAAGGTTAAAGAAGATACTTCTGAACCACTAATCCTTAATTACCATAATTAAATATTAGCTGGTATCAGTCACCAAAAGTTTATGAGGATCTTCCATACTTCCATTGCCCTTTGGTATCATACTTCATATTAAAGCACATTAGCATACCACATGGAACCCAACTTGGAATTTACTTAAAAACTACTGTTAAAGTCATTTCACAAAGAATATTAAGTGATACAGCAGACAGAGTTCAAATTAGGTTTCTTTAGGTGTTTTTTTTTTTTCTTTTCAATAGAAAGTTAATATCAAGAAGACCTTTTTGCTTTCCCAAATGGAAGTTGCATGGGTTCTCCTCTTGGATCATGAGAATGATAAAATGTGCAGTGCTTCCCTTTTTGCCCTGTCAAGACCCAAAGTGGATGCACTCCCAAAGCAACATTGATTGTTATTGCTGGTATACTTCCTCCATCTTGCTTTGACCTCAGTTGGCTAAGTCTTTTATTGCAATGTAATTTCAGAGATGAGGTATGAATAAATTCAATAAATTAAGGAAGGAAATTAACACTCATTAAGTAGTTACTACATACCAGATACTTTCATGCAATTCCATTTCATCTTTGCAACAATGAGGTATTACTTTATTTTCCATTTTACAAAAGAGTAAGCAGACAAGTTACTTAAAATTTAAAAACAAAAAAACAAACAAACAAAAAAACCTGGTCAAGGCCACACACCCAGACAATCAAGATTCGAGTCCTGGACATTTGACTTCTAAACTTACCCTTCCCATTTCAAAATGCTGCATTTAATCTATTACATATTGCCAGGCTTTACACAATGAAAAAGATAGGATTACCACTGAATTTTGATTTCCTTTACATATTCACTTTAGTGAGTCAATGGTTCTAAGTATGTCCATCCTTCCACTTTTACCTTATTATCACATTTTCACAAAATGAAAGCGTGCACTGCCCCTTTGACAACAGAGTAAGTTGCAATTGGCAACATGGAGAATTTAGAGGATAAACCCAGGAGAGGAGGAGACCTAGTCTTTCTTATATTACCTGGACTTATTGCTGCCTCCCTCAGGAAATACTTGTTTTTACCTGTGAAGTTTTAATTTTCACCAGAATTACTTCAGAATGTTTTTTACTAGTTCTTAAGCTTTCCAAAACCCACCCTGGCTGGTGTGGCTCAGTGGACTGAGTGCCAGCCTGCAAACCAAAGTGTCCCTGGTTCAATTCCCAGTCAGGGCACATGCCTGGGTTGTAGGACAGATTCCCCAGTAGGGGGCACTCAACAGGCAATCACACACTGATGTTTCTCTCCCTTTCTCCCTCCCTTCCCCTCTCTCTAAAAATAAAATAAAGTTGTTGGGGGGGGGGGGGGGGGAGAGAAGATCTCCAAAACCCCACTTTGAAAGACACATTTCTTAGTGCAGCAAAACAGGTACATGTCAAGGAACTTGAAACACAGAGATAGTCTCCAACTTTCTTAGTGGTGTGACATGATTTTTACCCTACAACATCTAAAATGGTTCCATGCAGGACTGAAAAACCAGTTTTAATACTGTCCTTTTCCACTTAACTGGGTGAAGATCAAGGACAATGGGAAGTGTCATTCTATAACTACTATTTTAGTAATTATTTACTTCCCTATAATTCTTAGGAGTCAAATGTAGATACACTGCTCACTAATGAACATTATCAATTCCCAGCACCAGTTTTTTTAAAACAGCATTATATCAAACCACATTAAATATCAAAAGACTATTCCTTAGGTTGTCATGAGTAAACCATGTTAAAATTAGGTATTTAATGTTTATCATTAAAATAACTTAATAATAAATGCATTTTTTGATGACAAAGTCCCACTTAGGAATACTTTGTTAGAAACAAAATTCAATATCAAACACTTTTACCAAAAATATATTTCTATGTTGACATTTAAGATGATTAAACTATCAAAGTCCATTTCTTTTCACTGCAAAGGTCGAAACATTTATCCTTCCTTTGAAAACCTGCTGTGTTATTTATTGAAGTCCTTCACATAGACCATTTGCATCTCAGTCAAGTGCTGCATCATGGAAAATGACGTTTTTATTTTTAAGCCTTACCTTCAGATAAGATCCATAATATTTGGTTACATATGGACTGTCACACTGACTCAGCACTGTGATTTCTTGTTGAATGTCCTCTATCTCATCTTCAGCTTCTTCCAGATCAATGATTTTTATGGCAACCACTTTCTGAGTCCGATTGTCAATGCCTTTGAACACCTCACCAAAAGAGCCCTTTCCAATTTTCTCCAGTTTTGTAAAAAGCTCTTCTGGATCTGCTTTTAGGTTCTGTAGGAGAGAAAGCAAAGATCTGTCAGGTGCCTCATCCCTCACTGGTCACCACTTTGGTCTGGCTCCAGCTGTGGCTACCAATCGTGCAGTATTCTGCATCCCACATCCCATCCTCCCCTTGAAAATCCTCCCATAGTAACTCTCCAGTCCCTTGGTGTCTACAACCCTGTTCTCCAATCATCTTCTTTCAGTCCAGCTAGTTCCAGAAGAATCTTCACACTCAGACTCTACCTGCGTCAGCCCAGAATCACAGGCAGTCCCCTGCAAGGTTCCCGACAACTTCGCCTCCTATTCTTTCTCTAACTCATCCCCAGGTTGTCATCCAGTTTCATGGTTTGGCGCCATGTTCCCAAACCTAGCTGGTCAGAAACATCTGGGACACTTAGAGATCTCAAACATTTACAGACATGGGGGATGAACATGCATAATCCATATTTTTAAAAGACCTCAATTGATTCTGATGAATAGCCACCTTTGAGGAAAACAGGCTTTGAATCATGGTGGACATGAGGACTTTCAAATTGCTAGCTCCAGTCTTGCCTTTTGTGTTTTAGTTCTTAGAATCAATTACTTGCCAGATATTTCTACCAGGATATTGCAAGCTCAACATGTACAAACTAAATTCATTATTTCCCCTGCTGAATTGAACGATCTCCCACAGCACACGTGTAACACCTTTGCTAAACTATAAGTTGAGGGGGTTCAAGACCATCTATCTCTTACTCACCTCTACACCAATGTGTCTGGGCAAAATAGCTGATAGTCAATAAATGTCCCATGAGCAGTAAGAAAACCCCAGCCTTACAGTGACACAAACAGGATCCAGGCCAGGCACAGTAAAGATCCCAATTCAGAGCGAGCTGCAGAGAATGGTAGTAAGGGTGAGGAAGAGGTGCTGAGAGCCTTAATACTCAGGAGAAGTGATTCTCCAGTCTCAGCATCAGAATCACCTGGAGAGATTGTTGGTTACAGCACAGGCTGCCTGGCTCCACTCCAGAGTTCCTCATTCAGTATATTTGGCGTGGGGCTCAAGAAGCAAGGAGTGCCCAGGTAACATAGCTGCTGGTGGCCAGGTGACCACACTCTGAGATCCAAGACACTAGCCACACACAGGCCCACTATACACATGGAAAGAGATGCCTAGCTTCCTAGCTGTCCCTGCTGAGCCCAGGCTAGCAACTCTCTAGCTAACCACAGGCACATGAGTGAGCCCACGTGAGAGGTGCAGAAAAACCCTGGGTCAAACTGAGAAATCATGAGAAACACTAAATGATTATTGTTTTAGGTTATGAAGTTCTGGAGTAACTTATTACACAATACATAACAGAGTCAATGGAGATCACTGCAGTAGGAAAGTATTTAAAGGGTACTAATACTGGACAGGTTTCGTTTTAAAAACTGCTTGTTTTCACTACTGCTTCACTATCTTCCTCAGTGTCCCTTTCCCAGAGTCTGCACCTCTAGAGCTAGTGGCAGCTGCTTGGTCTCGCATCTGCTCAAGTATAGTATGTCATTCCACACTCTCTGTCACTGTTAGCATTTGTTAACTGAGCTAAAAATTGTTCCTGGCAAGAATGGAGACCTCTGCTAAGATAGTGACAGCAGCGCACTAAACATATAAGCAGGATTCCTTGCTTTGGTGATTCTTGCTCATTACATGCAGTATAGCTAATGGCCATAAGAAAAATCAATGCCAACAATGACCTATTTTGAAAAGGGTCTTCTGTGCTGCCAGAATCTGCTCTCTGAGGAAAGGAGATTTCTTTTGTAGAAAATGTGTCATTCTGCCAACCATTTTGAGGATCTTTTCAGAGAGGTTTCTGTTGAACTAAGCACAGATCATCATCCCAGATAAGGAAGGCCTACTAACCTCTCACTCCACCCATCCTAGCCCACCTGATCCCAAGTGCCTGAAAGGCAACAGGGCCTGACTGACGAAGTCACAGTGGCTCAGCATTCTCTGAATCTGAAGCAGGGGAAGATCAGGACCATCTCCCTACATGCCCCTTTCTTAGAGTAATGAGGCTAAGAAGCTGGGGGAAACGAGGCTGGGTGCTGCCTGCACATAACATCCCAGTCCTCAAGACCCAGATTCCTCAATCAAAAATACCAATGCCCAGTGCAACTTCCCATTTCCACAGCTGAGCTAGATCATCTTTCGAAGGCAGGGATTTTCAACCTTTTTCATCTCATGGCAAACATAAACTACTGGGTTGGCCAAAAAGTCCATTTACTCTTTTCCGTAAAATAAAAGACATTTTCATTTTCACAAATACCTTCATTGATTTAGATGTTTTGAGTATGTGGGCTATCTCCCACATGGTATAATGTTGATTATTCTCAATTAATGTCTCAACTTGATCGCTATCAACTTCAACTGGCCTACCCAGCCGTGGAGTATTGGCCAGTGAGAAATCTCCAGCAAAAAACTTGGCAAACCACTTCTGATACATTCGATCAGTCACAGCACCTTCTCCACACGTTTCCATGTGTGTTTCAGTTGCTTTTTTATCTTTCTTTAAAAAAAAAATAAGGCATAATATGCCAAAAATGTTGCTTATTTTCTTCTATCTTCAATATTAAGAAAACTGCACAAAAGTTCACCAATTTTGATTTTTTTTTAATGCATGCTGATATGATAGCTGTCACAATGCAATCTAAAAAAGTTGTTTCGAATGAAGTTGAAGACAACTAAGCACTTTTAGAGTCATCTTACCAAAAAACAGAACGAACTTTTTGGCCAACCCAATAATTACCAAAATTCTGCAGCACACCAAAAAATATATTTTTTGCCAATCTGACCAAAAACAGTATAATTTTGATTCGTTCGCACTGGATGGCTATTGTTGTGTCAGCTGTTGTCATATTTTTGACAATTTAAGGGAAAAGAGGTCAGTGCCCCTTTACTAGTCAGCTACTGAATGCTTTAAAAAGACTTGCGGCACACCAGTTGAAAATCGCTGCCCTAAGGCAAAGACGACAGACTTCTCATGATGGAGGTATGAATTTCATTTATATGCTTCCTTGAGTGGCGACCCCATAAGCTACTCAACATCCATACATCTTTGTTTCCTCCTCTGAGGGAAGGGTTGAGGGGATAGAGAAATAAGAATAGAAATAAGAGTATCTCTCTAGATTGGCAAATGCAACTAGAGTTCGGAATCTAGCACCTACCCATCACAGCATCTGACATACCTAGTGCAATGTCAGCAATTGAAGACTTCTTCCCTAATCACAACTCTCAAGTTCCCTCAAAATGTAAGAGCCCAACTTTTAATCTAGAGGAGCCTTGTGGTTAATGGAAAACCCTAGGGAAATGTCACTTAGTTTCCCTACTTCTGGTGGCTTCATTTTCTTGCCTTTTTCATTACTCATCATGACAACACTGGGCCATCTATCTCTTTAAACTTTAGTCAGCTAAATTCTGGGCCTTCCTACATACTCACACCTTGTCTTGTTTGTTTTTAATTGCAGGATTTAGGAATATCAGGGCATTTGTTAAACTTAATTGTAGTAAGGTCAGGATCCTTAAAAGACACCTAAATAAGTAGAAGACAAATTCTCCCAGAGCAACAGGCCCCAGGCCCAAGTCTGGCCTCTAAAAATGCTCCTAAGCCCCTTCCTCCAAGAAAATCTTCACTGGGCTTGGAGACTGTGGGAAGAACAAAAAAGGAGGGAAAGTACCCCAAGTGAATCTGAAATCAATGGTTCCACAGAAGTTCCTCACTGAAATGATAGGGAAGTTTGGGGGCAACCAACTACCCCGAAACCTGGCATCCCTAGAAACCCCAGCTACAAGTAAAGAACAAACAATCTGCTCCACGCAAGTAGTAGTCACACTGCCACACAGCACAAGAAGGCAGGCCACCTAAAACTTCAGGATTCTTTTGAAGAGAAAATACACAGTATAAAGTCCCCAATCTAAGGCTTAGAGAAATTTCAAAGCTGTGCCCTTCTGAACTCAGGCTCCTATAATAATTCACTGTATTTTATAATTCCTTGAGAAAATTAATTAAAATAGTTTTATGATGACTCACATATTTTTTTATTTTTAAACCTAAATAGCTATTACTGTTTTCTTTTGATCATTTCTGGCAATGAAAAATGCATTTGGCATTACTAATCAACTTTAAGAGTTTCTTAGTTACAGATGTACCACTTGCATAGTCAAACCATTCTACACCACACTGGCTGAAGTCAAGTTTCTCACTTTGTTTTTTTTATGAAAAGAGAAAGGAACTAAATTTGATGTATTCTAATTCCTGCTACTTCACTTCACATCACTATCCCTGCAGCAATGGACAAGAGAACATTGTAGTTTGGGGGGGGTCTAGACCAGGAAGGTAAGTTGTGGGAGGTGAGCCCCCTCCCCTCTTCTGAACTTAGCCAGCATTCCTAATAAATCACAGGATTATCCTCCTTGAGCTGGACTTAGCCTGGGCCTCAGAATCTCCCTCACCCCACCACCCTAGGCAGCCACCAACAAGTCAGCCAACTGGGCACACAGGTGGAATGTATATTGCTAGCCTGATGTAGCCCTGTTACCAGCATGTCTCTGCATGGCTGTTCACCACTATCATATACTTCCATATCTACACAACCCTCCCAACCAGGCTCTCCCCATGTTTTTCACTGCTAATAGTATTACCTCCCATTTCCAAAGCTGCAACTCCCCCCTCCCCATATCCCAATTCCTTGCTTACACCAACATCCAAACTGTACCTTTATTTTTCCAAAATGTCTGTCAATGGGGGTCCCCCTGCCAAACCACTGCCTGACTCCACACCCTCCCTTCCCTCACCCACAACAGCTAAGCATACATCCGACTTCAAGACTTTCCTACTCCCTACTGGCAGAGTTTAGCTTCCTCAAAGCTCACGGGTTTCCTTCACTGCTTAAAACCACCAGGAACACACTGCCTCAGACTGAAGTCACCAACACTTGTGAATCTAAACCATATAGGTCCTTTCTAGTCCTGCTTTCTGCCATTACCCCTA